TTTAATATAATTTAAAAAACGTGCTAACGAAAACTGAAGTAACATCTGTATCTAGCCGGGCCTGTGGTCTAATCCTGAATACGTGGACATCACAAACCGATCCTCACATGGCCTCTTAAATTCAGCACAGTACAATTGAATATAGCGTCGTGTATCTACATCCTTGATGATCTTGACGACGTCGGAAAGCGATTCTTGATACTCAAGTACGAGATTTATGAATCCTCAATTCTCATGTCCCTTGAGCAGTACGTGGACTTCTGCTGTTGCCGACTGAATTCTTGGCATTCAATTCTCAACTGATCAACCTAATTCAGCTCTCACATCACCGCCGGCCACTTGGAGCTGCAAGTTATTTTTCTTCTATTCCACGAGCTAGCTTGAGCTCGATCAGTCACATCTGGTATCTCGAGTAGATGGAGAAATTGTGCGTCGATGGGGGAAAATGTTTATGGGAAGATCCAAAATTGCCATATGCCTGTGGCTGTGTGTGATTTCAGGAAATCTATATGTAGTTATTGACTTTTTTAGGCTATAGCATATAACCATCAATTTTATTGAAATAACTATAAATATTATTTATTTTATTATTTTTTTGCGGGGATTATTTATTTTATTATTAAAAGTGCTTAAGTATGAGATATTTTTTTTCATTAAATTTACGAACCAGATGAATGACCATACGTCATGTCTAAAAATTAACGGCATCATACATATTAAAACCATTGAGAGTATTTTGTATACAATCTCATCATTTATACACAGGAGCGTTCATACGTAGTACTATTAACTAGGGTCGGGATCCTGGTTAAATTATTTAATTCTAGTATATCACTAAATAATCTATCTATTTATTATATTATTAAAACAGTTTTGAAAGAAGGCACTACGTTCGCTGTGGGGTCTAGAAACTCCCACATTAATCGGAGAAAAAGAGAAAAATATAGACCACTAAATCATAGTAAATCTAGATCTCAAGGGTTAAGATTTAATGCGTAAAATTTTGGAAATATACTGTTGTTCCACATAAGCACTATAGAAGCGGACATGTTAGTATGATACAACTCAGATTGAGTATGGCGTATAGTAGTAGCATCAGGACACCAGACTCTATTTGGAAAGGAATATAACTTAGCAAAACGAAACAGAACTAGAGTAGGTTTCATGTGAGGCAGCAGTAAAATAGTTGTACCGCACGCGTATAATCCTATCATTGTTTTTAACAGTGATTTACACCTTCCAATAAAAATTAACGGGCACACTAAAAACTAGCAAAAGAACATGTGCATTATCACCAGATCTAGATTGTTTCTTTCTTTTGCATACGCGTATAATCCTATCATTGTTTTTAACAGTGATTTACACCTTCCAATAAAAATTAACGGGCACACTAAAAACTAGCAAAAGAACATGTGCATTATCACCAGATCTATATTGTTTCTATGTTTCTTTTGCATATTCTTGAAAAAAATCCTTTAAATTCAAAATACAAATGTAATAAAAACTCAATCCGGATGCTAGAAATTACCACATTAACCGTAGGAAAAAAGGAAAATATAATAAATTCTGAAATTAGAAAAAAGTTGAATACAATTTATAAATAACCAAAATTTGTAATAAAAAAATAAAGACTATTGAAAGAAGAGACCATCCAGAACACATGACGAGATTAATTAAAAATCAGAATAACAAATAAAATAAATTTTGAAAATAGAAAAATAACTATAAGAGTTCAAGTAGGAATATAATTTTGTAAATAAAACATATCGGAATGAAAATATGAAATTTTCAAAATAAAAAAATAAAGTACATATAGAACACAACGATGACAAATGACAGATGATAATAAAGAGGGGAGAAGCAATGTGCATGTAAAGAGTTGAGTGGTGACGGTTGATTGGGCATCTAAAAACTACTAACAAAACTCTAAATAGAATCCCAATTATGATTAAAACGAGGAATGATGGACAGGCCGTTAACCAACATAGTCAAGGCGGTTGGCGGGACGCCTAAAAGGTAAAAAATAAAAGATAATGATAATCATGTTTGATTTTAATATCTCAATGACAACAAAGAGGGGAGGCAACGTGCAGCCATAGAGGAGTACAGTGGTAAAGCTGTGGATGGTTTAGCGGGACTTCTACAAAGTAAAAAAAAAATCCCAAAATGATAATTATGTTTAATTTTTAAAATCTCAGTAACAATAAAAAGATGAGGCAGTGGACGGGTCATAAAGAAGTATAGTAGCAGCGTGTTTGACGGGACTTCTAAATATTATAAAAATGAAACTCAACGAGAAAGTAAACTCTAAAAACTATATGGTCCAATTTTTAAAGGTTCAAAACTTTTAAAAAGTAAAAAATAAACCAATAATAATCATGTTCGATTTTAAAATCTCAATGACAATAAAGATAAGAGGCAGCGGGCAAGTCACAAAAGAGTACAGTGGCAAAGCCGTTAACGGTTTGGCAGGGCTTCTAGAAAGTAAAAAATGAAGGCAAGCGTTTGATTTTTAAAATGCCAATAACAATAAAGAGAGAAGGCAGTTAACAAGATGTAGAGGAGTATAGTGACAGTATTTAACGAGATTTCTAAACATTATAAAAACCAAAACCCAATAAGACAATAAACTCTAAAAGCTATAATGTCCAATTTTTAAAGGTTCCAAAGAGAATGAATAGAAGTAGTGGTAGATCGATCGAGCAAGCAAATAAAGAAGGGATGATAGAAGTAAAACATTAGTAACTGGTGTGACTTTTAAAAACTATAAAATTAGAAACACAGAGATGATAAGATTTGGTCTTTCAAATCTTAAGACGATGAGATATCTATTTAATAAATTTCAAGAAAAAACATGTTAAAAAATAGATAATTTTGTATTGATGCTAGCCGCACAATTGTGCGGACCACCCAGCTAGTTTAGATAATTAATATGTATTGGATCCTGATAATTTTTGTTCTGAGTTTGCCCTTTTTTTTTGACAAATTGACCCTTTTCGAAAACTTATTTCGAAACTAACCTTGCCAAAAACTTTAACCAAAAATAGGCCGTCGGCTTAGCGCGTGTCAGCGCCAGGCCCATTGGCGCTGACCTCATGCCACCGTGGCGGCCGAGCCGATCCCCCAACCGTGGCGGAGAAATTGTGCGTTGATGGGGGGAAAATGTTCATGGGAAGATCCAAAAATGACATATGCCTGCGGCTGTGTGTGATTTCAGGAAATCTAGATGTAGTTATTGACTTTCTAGGCTATAACATAGGACCAATTATTTTATTAGAATAACGATATTAAGTATTATTTATTTTATTGTGAATTATTTTTTATTAAAAGTATTCTCTTCATCCAAAAGTCTTATTTTATTTTTTTACTTTTTTCACATAAGATAAAATATTTATAGTTACATGCATCCAAAACTTAAATGAAGATGTTGTCTTTTCGTTTTGTAGTGCTATTGATGAAACCCGAGTAGCTACATGTATGCGTATAGTCCTCAATCTTCTCACGTACATGATGAGTTAAGCATGAGAAATATATTTTGTGTTTGCACTAAATTTTCAAACCAAATAAATGATCATACGTCATGTCTAAAAATTAACAACGTCATACAACAAGAGTATTTCGTATACAATCTCAACAAACCACATATACTTGTACTCCGAGCGATCGGTGGTGGTTAAAGTTTTCAGAGTGAAACCATTGACATTTGCTTCAGTACTTCTGAAATCTGACGGTAACGCTTGTGGCTGTAAGCTCTGGTACAGACCGTACAGTACTAATCTGGGATGGCTTCAAAGTCTTTACTTGAATGAGAAATTAAGTATACTGTTTATACGAGATGCTCGTACAAGGGAATTGTTCATGTTTAGTGGACACATTTATTAATTAATCAGTATTACTCTGCTAAGAAAACATCTTACACGAGAGATCGATGCTCGTACGAGTTAGAGAAATTTGACTTAAACAAAACTAAAACAGTTTATGATATCGAACAGAGAGAGTAGAAAGTAACAACAACTGCTATACATATTTTTAAAACAAACAAAAAATATGATTCGGTGTTTCATATCGATATAACGGGAAAAAATAATTACAGAACTACAGGCTATACTAACAGACACTACTATCAACAGCCATTATTATCTAAAAAAATTATTATCAACGAGGCGAAAAGGCAGTTCCAGATATGAGGCGCCGAAAACGGCTATTTGTATCCAAGAAAAGTAAGTTAAATAATCTTCATAAAGCTTCTTTTATTATACTACAGCAAATTGCCAACACTAGATGTCAAATAGAAATTAAAGTAGTATCTGGACACGCCATCGCCAATAACTTTTCATTTGTCTTGTGCCTTTTTTTCTTGCTTTCCGATCAAGTGTTCTTGAAAACTGCATGCTTGGTTGTTAGACCATAGAGGCATAGATCATTGATAGGATGTATGATCACCGACCCTTTAGAACCATCCTTTGTTCTTATGCAAAATCTTCTTCCATGACATGGAAAAGTAAAATTTTCAAGTAAACCCAAACAACAGTCATGTAAAAGAGAGTAAAAGAGAGGGTAACTTTGGTTGTGGATGTAAAGGCCGGGTTATTAATCTTTTTTTAAAAAAGAGGTTAATGTTGAAATGTAAACGATCGAATACGGGAAACAACATTAACCTCTTATTGTATAGCTCAAACCCACCAGAGTTTATATTGTGATGCCACAATTATACGGGATGCGATCCTCTTATTTAAGTCCCTGACAAATGGATTAGAGTAAAGTCATGCATATGCGCCAGCATATAACTATATTTCTGGATGAGTAAACAATTATAGAGGGCTAAAATTTGAAAACAAAAAAAAAACTTAAACAAAATTTTGCTAAGTTTGAACAATATTTGCCTAATTAAAAAAAAAAATCAAAACTTTGTCCTCAAAAAACATTAAAAAAAGTAGGACGAAATTGTGAGCGGTAGGCCGTAAATGACCCACCGCGCTGGCGCGGCGACATATAAACGGTCACCCTCCTCAGTTCCCAACGCGAGCGCCAACGGCGGCATCGCATCGCATCGCTCTCGTGTCGCGTCGCGTCGCGCCACCGCCCACCGCCGCGGCCCGCGACGACCGTACTACCACCAGTGCGCTCTCGCCGCCACGCGGCGCCGCCGCTCGCCGCCAGCAAGGAGGAAGGAAGTTAAGCTTTAGTTTTGTTCTCGGTTCTCGATGGGGAACTGCCAGGCGGCGGAGGCGGCGACGGTGGTGGTGCAGCACCCGGGCGGTCGTGTGGAGCGGCTCTACTGGGCCACCACCGCCGCCGAGGTCATGCGCGCCAACCCGGGCCACTACGTCGCGCTCGTCACCCTCCGCGTCGCCGAGGAGAAGCGGCCGCCACCGCCGCCGCCGCCGCCGCCGGCGCGGGCCGAACGGCGCGGCACCGGCACCGGCACGGTGCGGGTGACGCGGGTGAAGCTGCTCAAGCCGCGGGACACGCTGCTCCTCGGCCAGGCCTACCGCCTCATCACCGTCGACGAGGTCACCAGGGCGCTGCAGGCGAAGAAGGAGGAGAAGTCGAGGAGGGCGGCGGCGCAGCATCATCACCTGGAATCCAAGCCCGCCGCCGCCGCCGCCGTCGCCGCCGGAGTTAGGATCAATTCCGGCGGCGACGACCACACGCAGCTCGATGAGAATCTTGATCAGGTTTGTCACAATCTTCTTGCTGCAAGATTTTCATCATCTCAGCTGTTCTTACCATGGCCAATTTACTCCTATAATCCTACTATTCGATCAACTTAATTATACTCCTATAATGGAAGCAACAATTTGATTGATATATGTGCTAATTGCATAAGTAAAGTATCCAGAACTCAATTTCTGAGCAAAAGGGACAGATTTTTGTATGTTTGAAATTTAAATTTGTGAATTTGCATGTTGAATTTTAGCTCTATGTTCCAATGCAATTAATTTCTTTCTTTTGGTTGAGTGAACACTAGGAGTCTAGGAGTAGGTGAGCACATAGTTGGTTAACATTCTAAATTTGGAGTATATTATGAGGCAAGTAAGTTACTTAGGCTATTGCTCAACCCAACTGTTATTTCTATGTTTAGTTGGCCACCCTCCTTGTGACACACTAGTACCTAACCAACTAACCAGATCCATTATAGATATCATATAATACCTGATCATGATACCAGGAATATGTTTAGCAATAATGTACTCTTAAACATGATATAATGGCTCTGTTTAGTTATGTACTTAGTGGACAAATTATTCCCAAACCAAGCTTTAAACAACAACCTTGTGTGCCATACCATGATTTCCTCACACCACATGGAAAAAGGCATGGATGGGTGGTTTACTTATTTTTCTTTCCTGTCATCTCCTAAATAAAAACATGCAAGTTTGACATTCTCTTGTAAGATGTCAGATACATGGGGAATATGGAACCTACTAGTTTACAAGATGATAGCAGAAAGTCCAAGAAAGGCCAGACTTTCAATAGTCTAAAATCTTGCAGCTACTCCTAACTCCTAAAAATTAACTATTGGTCATGAAGAATCATCCAACACTAATTCTTTGGATTGTACCAATTTTTGCTTTATCTTTAATTTGATTTGATTCCAAGGTCTCCTAAACTATATAAAAGATTAACAAAGTGCCATGTTCTGAATTCTGATTACTCATCTGCCACCCATCCTATTGTGGTTTGCAGCATGACAGAGACGGCCAACGGAGCAGCTCGGCGACACATTCTAGGCATCGTCAATGGCGCCCATCACTGCACAGCATCGCCGAAGTCAGAAGCTGACACGATCGTCAGTGGCCGGCCAGTTGAACTGATCTGTGTTTTTAGAGTTCATGCTCATCATTTCATCAGAAGTGCATTTTCAGCTGATGCGATGTTCAGTTTGGTTGTGTTGGGTTCAGCATCTCTCAACAGAGAAGAAGATGATCAGTAGCTCTGAATGCATCATATTCAGAGTTTCAGTTAGTAGGTACCAAGTCACTGTAAGAAATCACCAATCTTACTCAGGCCATTTTACTGAGGTCAAGATTGTTTCTGGCTTGGGAAGTAAGTTGGTACCTTAATTTGCATTGCATCTTAGAGTTGGCACATACAGAGGGGTATTTATTAATCAAAAGCAGGGTGATGTACTATTATATATTCAGTTTAAGATGCAAAGTACATCCTTTGCAGATAGCTTTTTAAGGATTCTTGTGTATTTTACTGCTGCTCTTTGGGTGCCGAATTTGTGATCATTGGATCGCCGCAATCATAGAACACAGGAGCTGGAATCCGAGCTTTATGTGTTGGAAGCAAGCATACATCTTCAGATTCGCGGCCTATTAGGCCTGCACATTTGTATATTGTTTCCTGCAGATGCAGTTGGTAGTAAGACAAGTGCTAGAGATTTGCCAAGTTAGGTGCCAACACCTGAACTCGAGTTCCCCTGCAATGAACAAGGTTTGGTAGTTGAAGAACTGAAATGATTGACAGAACAGATCATCAAAGGGACACTGGAGCATCATGCCATGTTTGTACATGATGCAAATATGTTCTGTTGGGGATAATTACCCTAATCTGAATTTATTTTCCTTTCTTGATGAATCCTACTCTCTCATGTCCCAAACACAACTTTGGTGTCCTAAATCATAATGCTATCAGGAAAGCAAGTTCTTTTCGAGCTAAACCTACTCATACAATTTCCATTTACAAATACCAATCCTAAAAAGTTTCAGAAGCTTGGATAGCACATCTGTCCAAAACAACATGGGTTTGTGGCTGTACAACAAAGCACCAGAAAAAAAAATCAATCATTGCTGGTTGGTTGGCCGGTACAGAATTCAGTAGATAGAATGTGAAAGAAAGAGCTCCAAATTCCATGGCAGAGTGCCACACAAATCAAGGCACGTAAAAAAAAAAGATGATGATCAGTAGTGCTTGATTACCAGGTTGACCAAACCAAAGTCGCTTTTAACTCCTTTATTTTTTTCCCTCTTTTTCTGACGGCTGCATTTCGGAACGTTGGGGAGCTTGATCGATTGCCTTGCCGATCGATCGATCGATGGAGATTCAGCCAAAGCTGAAAGAGCCACCCATTCTTCTTCAGAGAACGCACAAATCGATCGAACAATACCCGATTGATTCAGGCTTTCAAAGCGTGGCATGTGGCATACTCTGCTCCACCGCCACTGCCATCCTCCACTTCCATCAATGGCGGCCGGCTTCCGTTCACGAATCTTCGTTACCAACGCTGCCGCATAAAAACCCACTTCATAATTTTGTTTACCACTTACTAGTATAAAATTTGGAAGTAAAAATTAACTAGGACCATGACGAGCAGGACCTTTAGGTGATGTTCGTTTCTACTTAAGATGAAAAAATATACACTGTTCTAGCAGTTTGGAAATCAAACAAATAAAAACGAAAATAAAATTTACATCTTAATCAGAAAAGAACGGGACGTTACGTTCATCATATCATGACTTTCCAAGATCATCCAACGAGAATGGAATGGATCAACGACGACGATCGTGTCACGCGGCTCTCGATCCAGCGCGCACTCGGGGCTTCTTTTGATGGGACTGACGTACTCCGCCTTTCTCCGGGCCGAAAGGGGGAGGGAGCCGGCCAGACGCATGCATGCAGACGCAGTGCGTGATGTGCGTGCGTGCGTGTGAGATGGGCAGGGACGAAAGCGACGAGAGGAGCCATGGATTCCACTGGGAAAGAGGAGAGGAGGGAGGATATACGAGAGTGTGAGTCCGTCATTGGTCTCTTTCTTTCTCGTCCCCATCTCTTGTTCTGTTGTCGTGCGCGAGAGGGGAGGACGGACCGTCCGTCGGCATGCACGCGCGTGTGGTAGACTGGTGGTGACTGGTAAAAGCTGCCATTGCATGTGGAAGAGCGGTTTCAATCAGCGTTTTATCAGATTGTAACGCATGCAAATGTAAAAAATTTGAAATTTGAAAATGGTTGATTAGATCCATGCCTTTAAAAATATCATGTTGAAGAAAATGTTCATTATCATTTATCAAACCGGCTGAGTCCATGGATAGCTTATATACCAGCTCTCATAATATTTTTTTTATAAATTGATTTAAACCCTATTATAATAAAAGAAATACATATAGACCCTTAAGCTTCTTGTGGACCCACCTGTCAGTCACCCTCCCTTTTCTTTTCTTTTTTCCTTTCCTAACCCCTCCCCCTCTGATCAGTCCCTTCTTCCATATGTTCATTGACGACTCCTCTCCTCCATTCTCCGGTCGCTTCTTTGTCCGCCTCACGTCGGTTGCTTTACCATACTGGTGCTGTCGTTTCCTTGTTCTCCCGAACACCTCAATCACCATTGCTATCCTCTCCTAGTCTCCAACATCTCCCTTCTCAGACTATGCGCATCGTCCATCTCTACCTCAATCGCCATTGTGTTTCCTACAATCCTACTCCGGCCACCGCGCTCCGAGCGGACTAGATTCCGGTGGTTGAGCTCCTAGCAATATGGTCATGTGCTCATTGGATCAGGTCACGAATATGATCAGGCCAAATCAAGGGGCACCGATGGTGGAGTAACCAGGTTGATTACAAGACGGTGGAGTTGTCTGGGCAAAGGTCCTAGCAACAAAGCAGCCTTGAGCAAAGGTCGCAGTAGAACATATCGACGATGAGATTGGAACCACGACGGCGAGCAATGGAGCTACCTGAGCATGGCTTCATCTTCGGAACGTTTTTCCTTGGGAAGCCATCCATAGCTTCTCTAGGGCACGCGTGGTCATGCGGAGCCACTGCTTCGCCTGACGTGATAAGTTGGCTCCCACATGGCCTAGCAAGACCACTCCTCATGTCCCCGCATTAGGGTATCCTCAGTGTTAAGATACACCATAACCATAAGGTGAAACCCACAACCATATATATTTTTACTCGTGGTAAATGCTATAATGTATAACATCTCTTCTTCACCTTAAGGTGTGGCCCACCAAGGAAAACAAATTGTATTCGTCCATTTTAGCATGAAGATTCAAAGCCAACATACACATTGAAAAGATATAAATTAATTTTATATTTCTTATGGCTAGCTCTAAGCTTAGAGCAAGGCTAATAATACAGCCGACTTGTTGGTTATAAGGTTCTTTGCAATTTTTTCTTAGCCTACAAATATAATAGTTAACTATTTATAATTAATATAGTGCCCATTTGTCTCTCTCACAGAATTTTTTGGTTCTTGCGTCCAAGCCGGCTGTAAATTTACAGCCCGCTTCTCCTCTCTCTCCTCTCTTCTCTCCATCACCTCAGCATTTAGCCGACTTACAGCCTCCTATTATACTTGCTCTTAAGGTTAGCCATAGCCATATATTCTCTTGTGAGTTTACTTCCCAATACATAAAGTTATACTACAAATATTATTTTAGTGCTTAAGGTTAACTTTACATGCACATTGGAGATGCCCTTATGCCTTTAATTTTTAAGGTCACGGTAAATTTTTTGCAGAAAAGGAGAGCGCCTGGCCGGCCACCAGCTCACTGTTGCAAATAGTAGAAACTCAACAATTTTATGAAAAACTATACTAGAAACTTGATAACTGCACCACACCTGCACTTCTCATCTTTTGCAAATTAAATAAATTATCACCTTCAGCAGTTCAGTTAGTTTTAGTACTATAGCACATTGCTAAGCTGGATCTTAATCAATCAGTGTATAATCATCCATCATCAGAGATAATACCTGCCAAAGGCAAACACCACAATGATACAATCTACAAAGCCCCAAACTGAACAGATTACGCAAAGATATCTCTCCCATGATAATATGATATTATGCACAGATCCATCAAAACCACAGTGTCATCACACTATCTCAATATATCAACAATCATTGCCTGCTTTAACACTGACCAAGATTAGGTTATCTTTACGCAAAGAGCTTTGTTTTTTCATAGCTAGATTAGTGCAGGGATTAAACGACACCTCAGCTTCAGTAGCAGCTGGGGCAATGCATTTGTCTGGGAAAGGAGTCGATCTCATCGATTGTTCAGATCATCTTTTAAATAAATACATGTGTGTCACGAAGCTGGGCTTGGCTGGCTGCAGGCAGCAGTTCGAAATGCGCATCGAGCTGGTGAGCAAATGATCTTTGCCACTGTGACGACGACGACGCTGCTTTACATAAAGGCAGGACAAATAATCTGGTAAGAATTTGGGGCCTCTCTCTGCTGCTTGCCCTGAAGATAGCAACTGGTTGTCGTGTTGCCATAGGCAAAATTTAAGTAGCACAGTGGTTTAGGTCTAACTAACACACGCATGCAACTATAAATATGTAATATGAAGTGTCCTGAATCTTTTCAAGTTCATAGGATGGATGGTCTCCTGAAAAAAGAAAATTCAGAGTCCTATAGTTATTTTGTTTACTTAAAATGTACTCTGAATAATGAAATGATCGACTTACCTTTATGGTGATCTCAAACGAGTACCCCTATCTACTACTATTTAGTATTATCATCGATATAAGTGATCTTAACCGTTAATTTATCTTGTTAGTACTTCCTCCGTGTCAAAATGTAAGTACTTTTTAGGTTGGTACGAGTATTAAGAAAGTAGGTGGAAATGATTAGAGAAAGTGTGTGATTGGTTGAGAAGAGAAAAAGAGATGAAACAGAATGTTTGTGATTGACCCCCTATCGCCGCTCCTTTTCATACTTGCGATTGACCCCCTTCAGCGAATCCTTTTCAAGGCTACAGAGCTCGGCGCAATCTCGAAAATTCGGGGGAGAACAACTAGGCTAAGGATCTCAATGTACGCAGACGACGCCATCATCTTCATTAATCCCACCCGAGGCGATGTTACGGCCTTCACGGACATCCTGCAGCACTTCGGCACTGCAACTGGGCTCGTCACCAATTTTCAGAAATCCCAAGTGGCGCCCATCAGATGCGGCGGCATCGAGTTGAATGAGGTTCTTGAGGGCATCCCTGTGGTGAGGGCAAGTTTCCCCATCAAGTACTTGGGCCTCCCCCTAGCTCTGGGAAGACTGTGGAAGGTGGACTTGCAACCTATCTTTGACAAAATTTCCGGAAGGGTAGCAAGCTGGAGAGGAAAAAATATGGCAGCGGCTGGAAGAACTACGCTCGTCAAATATGTGCTAACGGCGCAACCAATCTACCTTCTGACCGCTCTGAAAATCACAAAGGAATCCCTCAAGCAGCTAGACAAGCAGCGGCGCCGCTTCCTCTGGGCAGGCACAGGTGTTATTACCGGAGGGAAATGCAAGGTCAATTGGACAAAGACGTGCATGCCGACCAGCCAAGGAGGATTGGGGGTCCTAAATCTGGACAAATTCACGAGGGCCTTGAGGTTGAGATGGTTGTGGCATGAATGGAAGGACCAGACCAAACCTTGGGTGGGGCTGGAGACGCCATGTGATGAAATAGATAGGAACCTCTTCGCCGCCTCAACAAACATAACAATAGGGGACGGAAACACGGTGCGATTTTGGGAGTCCACGTGGATTGGTGGGCGAAGACCCAAAGACCTCATGCCGCTTGTCTATGCGATCTCAAAAAACAGAGGAAAACCCCTTCGGCAAGGAAAGGAGGAGGACACCTGGGTGCAAGATTTGAAGCTTGATTCACAATCATCTATCACAATCGACCTTGTCGAACAGCTAGCCGCACTGTGGGAAGTGGTCCGAAATGTGCACTTAGACGTTAGAGAACCAGATCAGATTACTTGGAAGTTCACAAACAACGGGCACTACACGGCCTCCTCGGCTTACCATGCACAGTGCTGCGGGGCGCCGAGCACAAAATTCAATTCCTTGATTTGGAAAGCCTGGGCGTCGGGGAAATGCAAATTTCATGCTTGGCTCATCATTCAGAACAGAGTCTGGACTTCAGACCGGCTTGCGACCAGGGGATGGCAGAACAATGGTTGTTGCCCTCTTTGCCGCCGCGAGATTGAGACGGCATTGCACCTTGTTGCCACTTGTAGATACACCAAGAGGATTTGGCACCTCGTCTCTGCATGGGTGGGCTATCAGCAGATGGACCCAACGGAATGGGAGGAAGCCCAGTCAGTCAAACAGTGGTGGGAGAACATTGCAAACACGCCTAGTGTCCCGAGAAAAGGACTTCGATCGCTCATTCTGTTAGTCGTCTGGGAAATTTGGAAAGAGAGGAATCGGCGGATTTTTGATCACAAATAGGTGGCAACGAACTTCCTACTAATGAAAATCAAAGAGGAGGCGAGCCTTTGGGGCTTTAGCAGGAGCTAAGTGGTTGCGTGAGTTAATCTCGCACACTATACAGCTATAGTGGTTCTATAGTGGTTCTCTGTTTTCCTTTTACCCCTAGGGGTTTGTATTTTCTCCTGCTCTATTCAATGAAAAGGCACTCTAGTGCTGTTTTTCCGTTCAAAAAAAAAAAGAATGTTTGTGATTGGATGAGAGGAAGAGGTATGTGGAGAAATAACTTTATTTTGGGACAAGATATTATGCTAGAAATAGCTATATTTTAAAACAGAAGTAGTATAAGCATGTCACTGAAAATGGAGGTCCTACTGTCCTAGGAGTAGTCCTCCTGAGCAGTGAAAAAAAAAGTACTACTAAATAATACTAATCAGGTTTAACTAGCTAAACAAACACAAATCTTTGACAGGGCTAAACAAGGGGAGGAAGCTTTTGCTAATCTAGTGGTAGCTAACTTGATCAGCCCTGCAAAGTGCAGTGTGCCCAATAGTCCAAAGTGTCGTATCGAATGCATCCTTTGCTTCACTTTCGCATCACTTTGCAGAAAGAAATACACACAGGTTGCTGCCCTATTGGTCCCCATCGATTTCATCATACAGGTGCTCCTCTTTTAATTTTACTCTTTTTTTTTCTTTGAGAAATCTTTAATCCTAGTCTCGATCCCCACATTTATGTTCAAATATGTCATCTTTCTGAATTAAGCTACAAAATTATCAAAGCTTCAACAACCACAAGGATGCAAAAATAAACAAATAAATAGCTCATCCAGGAACAGAAATCGCCGAGGAATGTAATATAATTCAGACTCAAATAAAAGAAAAGAAAAGAAAAGAAAAGAAAGATTCAATCTTCTCCAAAATGGCCATCAAGTTTGCGCCTTTTGCTCCGGGAAGATGAACTTGTTACTGATGAACAAGCTGCAAGTATCATCGGATGTCGCTTCCTCTTCCTCGCAGTAGCATTCAGAGCTCGCTGCAGCAGCTGATAGCAACTGCTGATCCTCTCCTGTAATAACAAATATAAAAACATTTTTTTTAAAAAAAGGATCATTTCAAAGTTACTGACGAACTGACAAAGTTTTGCAAACTACAAGATCTTTCAATTGATCATGTCGTGGGTTGGGTTGGTCAGGACGTCAGAGATCAGGTTACTTACCTCAGTCAGGCCAATGCACCACGAGGCAGCTGATTCAGAGCTGACGCTGCTCCTGTGCGACATGGCTGCAGGCGACTCATTTACTGCGAATAGCACCGCCGCTGCCGCCATTGATGAGGCGCAGTGGTTCAGGAACTCGAGCTCTGTTCCACGGATGGCAACAAGAAGATTCTTGGATCAATTAGCGAGCATTGGATGCAGCGAGATTCAAGGACAAGTTTAGCATTAGTTGGGATGTTTAAGGATAATTACTAGCACTTAATTTCAATATGTAATTAATGATGATGAGACTCATGTAGTTTTTCACAGAAAATGGTGCAAGTACTATTATTTTAGCAGGGTTAAGAAAGCATCTGATCTCTTGTCACATTGAACTGTCACCAGGAATCCAGGATGTTACAAATGTGTTTGGATTGGCCCAGGTAGTGGATGATCATTTAGCCAGCTAACTGGTTGATTGAAATGGAAATCCAATAATCTCCTTCCTATGTACTACAACAGATTTTGGTAAAGTTGTGGTAAAGTGTGGTCACCATCCAAACACCCTCTTAATCCTGACGCAAATAGTGCTACCTAGCAAGGTTCAGAATACCGGTTTGGCAGGAACAGGCCTGGTGAAATTTAAATGCTAATTTTGAATTCAAATCTAAATTTAGAATTTTACATGTTCCCGAACAGAATAGTTCTATATTCAAGTTTTACAATATGTTATTTTATTTATATTCGCATCCTTCCGACCGGTAACTACCCGGGGAACTGGTTGCCATCCGGTTATTGACCGGTAAAACCAACAGTTTTCGGGACCATGACATTGAGTACTCACTACTCACACCATAACTCCAGTGATTCATCTTTTCATCAAAGAGAGGGGAACAAAAAAGTACTTCAATAGAGAGTCAAAGATGCAATGATAATATTATTCAGGCAATGAAAACAACAAATTATATTTCATTGTACTATTTTGCACCTCTTGACATTGGCATTTAGTTTACTTATGTTATGCCACCTTTTACTACTAGTGATAGTATGGTAATAAAATTAAAATATAATCAACATTTTGCTTATTTTAGATATTTTAACTAGACTCTAACGAAAACAATTTTGATTATTCATCTAGTATATTATATGGCATGCGAATAAATGATCAACCTATATGCATCCTAGAGTAAAATTTTGTTTTCTGTTCCCTCAAAAAGAAAACGTTAGCATTACCATGAATTGCACTGAGAATTATTTGGCAAGCACGCAATGCCAAGATCCTTGAGCTTCTTCCAGAGGAGCCAACCTTACAAGCGAAGAAATCAACAAAGGCGAAAGGCGTCACTGACCGGAGCCTCCAATCCAACTCCACGAGGACGATGAGCTCCATCCTCTGGATCGTCCGAGGTTCAAAAATGAATCTTGTTCCTTCAATCTGTTTGCATTTGCTGAAATTCATATTCATAACAAAAGCAAATAAAGACATTGAGTACTCACTATTCACATCAAGTTAGTTACCTGAAGGTCAAGGAGGGGTGGGGCAGAGGACTCCTCCATCTTGGCAGCCAGAGACAAGCAAGCCACACATAGCAATTGGGATGCCCAACCATGATCCTGGGTGAAAGAAATCAAATTGCAATAATAAGCTAGAATCAGATGAGTAGAGTTCTTAAGATAACTGGAAATTCAGCTGTCTATCTCTGCATTAACAAAGAATGCACCGCATTCTCTGAGCATTGAGGAACAAGAGGAGATCGATTAAAAGAAATCTTGTTCGAAGAGAAAAATCTGAAGTATAACATCAAATCACAAACCATGCAACTGATCACAATGAGAATTGATGATGGAATAGTACAACCAACGACAACTCTATGTAGCAATTGCAAGTGTGGTGTACAGAGTCATTTTCAGATTGATATTAACTGTTATGAACTTACGACTGACTTGGATTCTCTAGGAATTTGCAAATAATAATGAATTCATTAGTGTAGGCGGTTTTCTTAAGTAATCGATGGTGACATATTTTCACAGGCAGCCTATGACCTTACAACGGCCCCAACCTTTTCTATAGACGATTATAAATTGGAGCCGTTTAAGAAAAGGAATGGCTGTGGCTTTCTGTAGCAGAGGGATCATGATAATCATATGCAAAAATATGTAGAACGTCGATCCATGAAAAAGTGCCTTGTCCTACCTCTTAATCAGGGTAGTGACCATGTAGATCGGGGATTGAGACCAAATCCAAATCAAAATAGTGCCCCTGCCAATCATAATTCTCAATCTTGGTGTGGTGGCACACCTGGGCAGAAAATGGCATCACCGGTCACATGCATGTTTTTTGTCTACTAATGGGAAAGTTAAAATTCCCTGTTGAATAGACACATCCTCTGACAGAGAATAATGCCCTACTAGCCACCTAACATAGATTCAGAATTCCATCCCTAATGACCTCAATTAATTTGCTGCTACTAGTTGCATCTGCCAAAAACATTCGTTAGCCTTGTGTGCTAGCTAGCTAGGTACTTATTCCCTACAATCCACAATAAAATTATTATTCTCTCGTCCTAAACAATCACAATCATCCTTTATATATTTAATTCATACACATGCTTCCTCAGCTCATTAAACTAATCACAATTATTTTCCAATTTAATTTTATATATCTCCTTAGTTACTTTGAAAAACTCAAAAAAGTATATATATTTTGGGACGGACACACAAGTTACTTAGAAATTCAGTACCATTCTAACCCACATATCATCGGCACATAACTATAGTGCAAGTGTGCTTTTTTTTTACTGCAAATTCTGCCAACTCTGTACTAAGTATGTATGCTACAGCAGCATAGTCTGATCAATTGATTCGTAATCTGCAGCTAATTCTTTTTTTAAGGCCTAATCTCTGGCTCTCTGCAGTGCACTGCGCTTAATCCAGTAACTAGACACAGCTAGAGACAAAAGTGTGGGCGGCCATTGATTTACCGGCAAGCTGCGAGACGACATGAACCTATCCATGTAGCTCACGGCGAGGTACGCCGTCGCCGGCTGGAAGCCGTGGACTGACCGGACCTGGAGAAGAAAGGCGAGTGAAATTAAGATGTGCAAGTTAATTAGATTGCCATGGATCGAGCTAGCTAGATTGCGGCGGTGCTAGCTATAGCTTCACCTTGAGGATCCAGGAGACGGACTCCGACCAGCCGGGCCGGTGGACGGCTGTCCTCGGCGGCGAGCAAGCAGGCATGACGAGCTCGGCACCGACGGGCACGTCGACGTCGTAGTCGTAGTCGTAGCAGTGCTCCTCCCCGCCTGGAGTCACCTGCACCACCTCGCCATGGACGCCGTGTTCGTCTTCGTCTTCGTCGTCGTCGTCAGCGGCTGCGGCGGCCGCGGCGGCGCACGACAATGACGACGACGGCGACGACCCCTGCGCCGGCTCGCCCTCGCGCTCCAGCTCGCCGGCGTCCTCGCCGCACAGCAGCGCGTCGACGTCGTCGTCGACGACATCCACGCAGCACACTACGCCCGCGGAGGACCCGCGTGCGTCGTCTCCGACATGCTTGTACATCATCGCGCCGACGAACTTAGCTAGCTAGCTAGCAAGAAGACATGATTGCGTCGTGCGCCGCCATTTCACCGGCCGCGAGAGCGAGAGCGAGAGCGAGCTACGGCCGCCACAAGGTGCAGGCTGCGATGCGACGGCGCGCGCGCGCGTGTGATGGCGTGCGTCGTAGCGGTGGAGCAGCGGATCACTGTGGGCGATAGCAAAGCTGAGAATTCGCTGGATATGAGAACTGGAAATGAAACCTGCAGGATGCTTGGTTTTATTTGTCTGTCCCGGCAGAACGGCACTGTACGTTGGCTGAGTGCTGCCTCTTGCCTCAATCCTCCTTAAAAAGGACAATAAACTCAAGGCTAAACACAAGTTATCAAAGCCTATAAAAGGAGCCTTCACATTCGAGGGTTTAAAGATTATCCTAAATTTAATTTAAGGAGTAAAGATTATACAAGGAGTCTTCACATTCTAGAGCTTTCTAAACAGAATTTCACTCTTTTTTTGGTTGGACTTCAGCTCTAAGAAATGGAGCTAGAGCTGAAGCTGAAGCAGAAAATAAAGTGGATCGTGGAGTAGTAATAGATTTTAGATAATGGTCCTACTACTCCACATAGCTTTTTTTGGGAGTAGTAGTAAAATCTAAACCACTTTTTTTTCTAGAGCTGAAGCAGGAAATGGTCCTACTACTCCACATATATAACTACTAGATTTAGACTTTGTAAGTTAAAATAAAGTGGTTTAAAATTTTATATATATTTCATATAAAATATATAGAAAAGTGTTTATCCAAATGTTATTAATAACAAATTTAGATCCATATATTTCTGAAGTGTATTGGCTCTAAAAAATTCTGATCTAAAGTTGTGCCAAACAAAACTTAATTCATGGAGAAAAAAAATTCACGCTGACCATTGATCAATCATTGTGGTACCAAATTATAATGGCATAGATTGCTCGGATTAATAGATGTAGCCATGTAGGTACAATTGTTTTTATGAAAATAGAAGCTAAGATTTATATCACTGCAATGCAGGGCCCATAATAAACAAATTAATCAAAACAATAAATCCGAACGTACAACTTACAAAACTTTCTGTTAAAGAGCATGCACCTACATGTACATAAACATGAACATCAGGGTTATCCCTAGCAGGTAAAGTTGTACACTCGCACTTAAGGCCATTTCAGCCTTTCACAACAGTACAATCATTTCGGTAAACACCAGGTTTGGGCAATTGGCCAGACGTACAAGCATGTAATTACCGGCTAGTCAGTACGTACTGCCCAATGACATTAGTGTGACGGCCGTATCAAACATCCAAAATCCAAATTCCATCAACTTCTGCGTACGAGATGCAAAGTTTATTGGTTAATTCAAGGGTGTAGCTATATTTATGGCGCCATATTTTTTATAAAAAAATAGTCGGCATGTATTTACATTGTAAATCCCTAAATTACATATGTAATTTTAGTGTATTTATAATGTAAGTCTTAAAATTACATATGTAAGTACTAAAATTACATACTAATTACATATGTAAGTGACTGAAAAAAAATCGATTGTAGCATATGGCGCCATATTTCTAGCAACTCCATAATTCAATGAGCAGACTGTACATAGGTGCATGTAAAAGGCTGCATCCGTCCATACGCATACAAAAGAATGTGCTCCCTCCGTTTCATAATATTCTATAATTTAGAGTAGCAGTGCATGCTTTAATTTGATCACTGATATCTTCTACTTACTCCGTTTCAAAATATAGGTATTTTTAGAGCAGGTACAATAGCAGGCTATAAACCAGCTGTAAACATATTTTAAGAAGATAAATGAGGAGAGAGAAGAGCAGCGGGCTACAGATTTGTAGCCAGCTGTAGCACGGACTCCAAGACGCAGTGTATGTGTGACAGGTGGGACCATATATTAATAGTGTAGTATGTAACTATTGTATGAATGAGCTATTAGATTGGCTATAGATGAATTCGAGCTAGTAGTTAGCTGTACTATTAAACTTGCTTTTAAGGTTGGCACGAGTATTAAAAAAGTAGGTGGGAATGATTGGAGGAGGTGTGTGATTGGTTGAAAAGAGGAGATAGGTGAAGAAGAATGGTTGTGATTGGTTGAGAGGAGGAGGTAGTTAGAGAAATAGCTTCATTCTGGGACAAGATATTGTGCTAGAAATAGCTATATTTTAAGATAGAGGAAGTAAATCGTTTAATCATGATGAACGGGATTTTTTATATACTTATTGTATAATATACTTTATTAATAATATAGTATGTTGGACACTCTTACAAATTTATTCATGAAAGTGAAGTGAGTGTATTTAGCTAGAATCCTATTCACCTGGGTTTAAATCCTAGAAATGACACGGGTGTATGACTAATTGTTCTTTCAATAGTAGGTAATGTATCATTCGACAGCGTGCCATCCGTGGTGAGTTCATCAATTTTAAGATATGCTGAAACAATTTTTTGAATGTGCTTATAGGATAGGGTGTGCGTGTGTAAGTTCTTAGGGGTGAGTTGCCTCGTGATGGCTTACTCAATTTAAGATATGCCAGCCTAGTTTTTAGGAGGTGCTTATAGAGGTATGGTATGTGTGAGTGTGTTTTTAAGGGTGAGTGTGTGTTTGCTGTAAGCGTTTACGTTTGTGCCATGTTTCTTTTAAAAAAATATTCATGAAACAGGAGTAGTCAAAGTAAAACAATATAATGTCATGAAACAAAGTGGGTATCTATATAATATTATTTTACTTTTAGCGACTAATCCCTTTATCCTAGAATATAAGAGATTTAAATGGATAGTACACATTCTAGTAGTATGAATCTAGACAATCTTTATGTTTAAATTTGTAGTACTAGTATATGTCTCATTCCTTCAAAGGCCTTGTTTAGTTCCAAACCTTTTCTTCAAACTTCCAACTTTTCCATCACATCAAAACTTTCCTACACACATAAACTTCTAACTTTTTCATCACATCGTTCTAATTTCAACCAAACTTTTAATTTTGGCGTGAACTAATCACACCCAAAATATCTATTCTAGGATGAAGGTAGTATTATACTGAACTATTAAAGGCAAGATGCAGATATGGGCCATGCATGTTTGGCTAGCCAGATGGATCATAGATCTGGTGCATATATATCACGCACATATAAGTCACATTCGTAGGAGATATGATGGGCCATGTCCTGGCCTGATTGCATATACAGCACTGCCTGCTGCACGGCATGAGCGGATAGGCCAGGGATCCAGCTTTTTACTCCTACATGTTTTGGTCTTTTATGAGTAGGTGCGGTAGTACTACTGTACTGGCTGGTCGAGTGGCTGCCCATCCGGGCCCATATATATGCAGGTTTGACCCCTCCAGTCAAATACTGCAACGGCTTCATGCCTGTATATGTCAATACAAAAATATATTGCCTTCGCTCTTATTTTACTTAAAAGTTTTGATTTCAGTCATGAAGGCACGATTTTGGGTGGGCGTTCGGTCAAACCAAAACAATATATTTCGGTTCGCTAGAAATATAATAAAGTTCAAAATGCATTGCATGATAATGAAAACCCATCGGTTTTGGTCATTTTAGTTTGGTCTTCAGGAGATCCAAAATAATAGAAACCACTACTAAATTTTAGTGTAAATTGGATTCGTGCCATTGTAAATATGTCTATTTAGATAAATATCATTATAATTTGTCTATTTATAATTGTGTCACTGGATTTTACAAATTTGGAACCATGCTAGGGTCATGTTTTTCATTCATTTCCTTCCTTCTCCATTTTCTTCCTTCTCTCTTCCCATTGCAACTTCATGGCAACGCAAGGTTTCGTGCAGAGCAGAGGGGTTTGTAATGGTGTCAAAACCTTAAGCAATATGGACCTTGGGTGGGACACGAAGTTTTAGCTCCTCTCTCACAAAAAATACATTAGTGTTGCTTGGATCATAGTTTAAACGATAATTTTATGGTTTAGGCTCATCTTATTGTTATTTAAATGTGTGATATTGACAGTTTAGGATCGTCTTTAACTGTCTAGACGGACAAGTCTAGCGTCTTAATTAGACCATTAGACTACGGTCTAGGCTAGCTCTCGTCTCAATTCATGCTCACCTCGGACAAGCTAGTCTAGCTAGGTATAGTGATCGATGATTAAAAGTGATTTTTTCTTAACCAAGTTGGTAAATATAATGTCGTAGAGATATCGATCTTAGCTGAAAGTCGTCGTATGGTACAGGATATATAGGACCATTATTCTTCTGGTCCGCTACATATATGTACAGTATTTGTACTATAACATATTAATGCTTGTATAGTAGCATGACGCCGGCTATAGCTAGCTGGTCGTTGCATTATGTGCGGCGTGTCAGTGGATCTGCAAGCATGTGCAACCGTGAAAAATCACCGGAGGAGCCACCGGTAGTACGCTTAATCATGTGATTAATTTTTTTAAAAATGTATTTTTACCCGGCCTTTATATCCAACTAGATTATGCAGCCATTTAAATCAGTGGCGGACACAGCATAAAAATTTAGCTATGGCGGATCATCACACCAGAACGAATATTTTAAAAATGAAGTAGCATTTTATTATACACAAACTATAATATATGTTCGCATTTATTAGAATATATGCTATTAACGATGATTATAATCCTAAATTTGTGATGCAATTTTTACAACTGACACTTTAAATTCGTCGAATAACAAACAATGATTATAATCTTAAATTTGTTATGCAGTTTTTACAACTGATGCCCTTAAATTCGCCGTATAACTTTTACGACTAAACTACATTTCCACGAGTGTTCCCCTGTTTTTTAGGTGTGTTTATTCATAACAAGTAGACATTCACTATTATTTAGCATTTGATTTTTACCGATTGTTAGCTAGACTATTCATTCATTTGTGCAGACACAAGGCAGTCCCACTATAGGTCTTTACCTCCAGTTAATTAGACGAATAAGCTTGTACCAATTAAAATACAGCTAACTAATCACATAATTAGCATATGTAATCAAGGCTGAGATGGCCATATGCTTAAATACCCTATCTATTTTGGGCATGGCATAGGTATGGCCGGTGCCATCCCTTGCCACAAGAGAAGATCCGCCACTGATTTAAATAGAAAACTTAGCCCCTCAAATAATCTAATCTAAAATTCGCTCTTATAAAGATTTAAACTCAGCACTCTTGAAGTGCTGCTTAGTTCATTACAAATACTAGACTGCATGTTCTTTCGCAATCATGTGATTACATGTATACACACATGTGTGCCATACCCATATACATATATACAAATACGCCACTGTCACGATCGTTCATTTATGTCAT